TTTACAAAAAAAATAAAAATAAAATAAGACTGGCAGTTTGCTATAAAAATACTTGAGGGTACCCTTGACTGAGCCAAAGAGCTTAACACAAATTTAAACAAATTTGTGCCCAAGAAAACAATCATTAACCTCATCCTAATTGTAGCTCCTTTCACACTTTAGCTAAATACCTGGGCAGCTGTTTTGTGTTGAGGGTGGGACCAGAAAATAGGCAAAGGGGAAGTCTGGAAAGAGGGAGACTGGTTTAAAAACAACAAAAACAAACAAACAAAAAGTTCAACTGTAAGTCCTGCAAAAATTACAAAGTAATGGGCCTCTTCAATCGTATTTATTAACTCCAGTGACTTAGGCATTTTGCCTTGTTAGTAGCTAAGTTATCCACAGAGGATATCTACATTTTGCAGCATTTAAGTCATCCATTCTGATTCACTAAGTCATGCCTGCACTTGGTATGGTTCCTCCTTTGCTAGCTTAGTGCAGGATCTGGAAGTGCCATTTATGGCTCAGCCCACTTCACTTTCCACGTCGCTGATCCTCTAGTGAGCAGGCAGTGGAAGAAAGCTGCACTGCACATAAAGAACAGCTATAGCCAAGCAGAATTCATCAAACTGTGGAAATTAGAATGATTTTTCCCCATGTCTCAGATTGGAAGAAGGAACATATGTTAGAAATAACCTGTTAAAATCAGTTTTGCCAAAAATGAGAAAGTTCTAGAAAATTACACATAAAGGCATTATTTCTCATTGAATAAGGGGTTCATATACTCTTTGCAGTGAACTAAAGACCAAAGAACCAAAGGGAAGGCCACCAGAAAGATGGACATCCCATGTTCTTGTCAAGTGCACACTTACTGTGGCTGCATATCCTAGTCCTCAGAAAGGAGTTACTACCTTCTTTCTTGATGGATTTTCCTGCTACCTATATGTCTGTAAAATGATATAGGGACCTCATGACCAAGAAGGGATAGAAGTCCCATTCTCATAAAAACTTGTCATTTTTGTTTACACATTCTCTAATAATTATTTAAACTTTCTCAGTGGGTTATTTCAAACATCTGGGCTTGGAGGATGGTGGTGTATTTGTAAGAGAATATCACCTTTGATCCTATGTCATATAAACTGTTTTCAGAAAGTAATGTAATTTAAACAAATTCTTTAACTTAAAAAAGTTGCATTTACAATTAAAAGAGTGCCATTATTCTCCAAATGTAAAAAAATGCTGCTGCTATTTTTTTTAGAACATTAGGGGTTGTTTGGCACTGTACTACTTACATGTTTTTATTCTTTAGTTTTTCTTATACCAAATATATACTGAACAACTGCTATACCCAGGAATGTACTAGAAACTGTGGATTAAAAAAAATAAATACAATTTTCTCTCTCTGGGATGGAAATTATGAACCTTATAAACTGGTAATATTAAAATTAAATCATTTGTGTCCACCAAATATGATTTTAACCCTAGTTCTATCCCAAAATAACCACCACTTATATTGGCCGCAAATTAATGACCATAATGGTCTCATTATATTTCTATTTACTTTAGTATGGCCAACCAATGGTCAACAGCAGAAAGAACTGCTCTTAGTCCTGGGTTCCCTTTACTTTAATAACAGAGATAATAAGGCTTTTAAAATATTGAGCTAAGGAATATTCCAGGAAAATCAACAGATACAGCCTCATTATCTGTATGTCAGAAAGGAGCCCATGTTACCCTCTTGTCATAGCAGTACCCTTTCTCCACATTATATGAAAAATAATTTTCCTAGAGCCCCTGAATATAACTGACATAAAAATGGGTAAAATAAATTATTTCATGAATTTCCATGTTTCTTAGTTTTAAGTGACCTATAAATCTTAGTGTTTCACCAGCCAAATCAGAAATATCCTTTAAGTAAAATAAAAGCAAGTATAGTCATTCACTCAATTTTTAAAAGGCTACTCCATACCAAACCAATGCAGTGTGCAAATATGGAACTTAATTAAAATACTATATATATAAAATATTAACAGCTGCAGCTATTAAAATTACATTAAACTCCCTTGAGCTAGGCTGACATAATATGAGCTCTCTCTTTTTATTTTTTTTTTCCAATGTAATAAAGGACAGAACTTGGCTTAGTGAATGAGCTTTGGTTTTTATATTGTTTGTTCCAATTCACTAATCTGAAATTTTAATCACATAAAAGTACTTTACCATCAAAACAGCACCAAGCATAGTAATTTGATCTTTCCATTGGATTCCAAGAAAAATCTCATGCTTTGTTTATTTTCTTTCTTAGATGCAAACAACACTTCCTTAGAATGTGTTTCTGTTCTTCCCATACAGAATTGAGCTTTGTAAATTAAAGTAGATATCATCTACTTTTGACCTTCTCCAATGAGGGTACAAATAGAGTAATTAATAAATTCTTGGTAATTTGGATGAATTAAAGAGCTTAGATAGAAAAAGTAGATTTTATTCTGCTTGAAGATTACAGTATTTATCTGAGAATTAATTAGATTGCATCAATACTTTCTCCTTACAATAAGAAACCTCATAAAATATTCAAAATAATTTTGTTTTCTGTGAGTATGTGTATATGCGCATGCGTGGCGTATATGCATATATGCATATATATACATATATATGCACATATACATGTAGAGAGAGACATATGCACACATATATAGACACACATACAATTTACATAGAAGAACGACTGGAAAGAAATATCCAAAAATATAAATCACTGTTTTCAAATGAATAATGAATACTTTCCTTTTTCTTTTACATTATTTTGTATTGACTAGTATTTTGAATTGATCATGTATTACATTCATATGGTTAGAAAATACCTCATTGCTAAGTGAATGAAAAGCAACTGATTTGATGTTTGGTGTTTTTTTTCTCCTCTGAACCTTCAGAAGATACCCTTTTAATCTGATATGGGTTGTTTTGTCTTGTTTTGCTGTTTTTAGACAGAACAAAAGTCTTGCTCTGTTGCCCAGGCTGGAATGCAACGGTATGATCATGGCTCACTGCGGCCTGGAACTCCTGGGTTCAAGCGATCCTAAGTGTGGGGATTACAGGTGTGAACCACTACTCTTGGAATGTTTTGTTTTAAGGTATTATAAAATCTGACTTAAAATATCTCTTCTTGAAAGTCATTTTCAAAATTTTATTCTAGATCTATCTTAAGTCAAATTATAGCATCCACAAGCTAGTATTTCAAAGCACTAGATTAGCCCATGCCCCCACCACGTTAAAATTCTGCTTGAAAGTTCATATGTACCAAATTAACTGCTATCTCTGGCAGAGATAGGCTGGAGAGAGTCAGAGAGGAACACTTATCATTATTGTTATATTTTTGCATTCCTATCAATGAACTCTTGTCAGCTTAAATCAGAAAGAAGGAGAAAGAGGAGGAGGAGGAGGAGGGGGGAGAGGGAGGGGGAGGAGGGGAAGGAGGAGAAGGAGAAGGAGGACAAAGAGAAGAGGAGGAGGCAGAGGAGGAGGAGGAGGAGGAGGAAGAAGAAGGAGAATAAATGGTAATTTAATTCTTTGTGGACTTCTTTAGGAAAGTGAGAATATTTAGGGAGACAAAGTTTCCAGAGAGGAATGAATCAGAAACACAGTCTCCGATATATCTGGGAATCAGAGCAATGGGTTCTGACCTTCCTTCTCTCCACACTCACTCCCAACTCCTTCTCAATTTCCATATATTCTATTTCTTTATTTTGTTAGCTAAAAATCATATTTCCAAACAGGCAAGCACAATCTTCTTGATCTATAAACAGCAGAACAAAAAAGCAGGGATAAGAGGAAAGTAGAAAACAGTTCAGTTGCAGAGAAACTGGGAGTAAAGAAGCACCAAGGGAGCCCATGCAAGGAGGGTATGAGCAAGAGAGTTCAGCCCCAGGTCTTCAACAGGGCCTTTCTGAAAGATGATGGTTATCACAGATTATATACAGATAAAAGCAGCATTCAGCTTCTTTTAGAGTTGGCTGGGGGTGGGTGAAGTAAAGAAGGAGAGTAGATAGGTCTAAATTTAGTTATCTTCTATTATAAGATCATTTGATTTATGTATGAGTAGGACAATCAGAGCATGGGAGCCCGGGGTGAAGAGAATTAAAGAAATGTAGTTGTATACTTAAAACAGACTTCTCTCTCCCTCTCATCTCTCCCTCTCTGTCTGCCTCTTTCACCCTCTCTTCTCTCTCTCTTCCTCCCTCCTTCCCTGTCTTTCCCAGGATTCCCACAAATGTCATTTCTGTTGCCTGGATGATTCTTTCCCCTCAAAGCTCATATTATTCAACATACTAAGCCCCCTAAAATACTCCCAAATTTCACTGTAAGTGTGATGTATTCGGGGAAACTTTACCTGCCACCTCTACCCCTCCTCCCTGAGAGAAATAAAGTGCAGCGACAGGAAGCAGAATGTTTGCTGGTGGAATTCCAAATACCTTTCATCAGAAAGGGAAGCAGTTTGGAAGGGCAGCAGAGCTTTGCCACTGTCCTTGAAATGCTACTCTATTGATTAAAGTGTTTTTAATACCACAGACTCATCCTAAAGTGTTCTGTACCAAACTAAGGATTTTGTGTCTGGATCATTCTAATTTTGTTTCATATGTTATATCTGCCACTTTGAGTACCTGCAAACATCTAGTAACATAAGAGAAAACTGGGAATACAAAAACTTTGAATTTTTTCACTTACTAAATTCAAGACAAAATTTTCTGCAAGATTTGGCATTTGATTACCCAATAAAAGTTCATTTAAGAAGCTATTCTAGGAGACATTTGAGCATTTGGGCTTTGATGCCCCACTATGATGATGAATTAGCTCTTTCTGATTTTGATATGGCGTGAAACAGAAGCAATATCAGGCAATTTCTTTTACTCTACAGAAACAAATGCAGGAAATCTTTAATATGTCTTGGTTTTCACTTTTAGGAATGGCACGGGTGGGTGGGTGGGGTGCTCTGGCAGATAAACAGCATAGAAAAATGATAACATTACCTGACCGTCCATCTCTTTGGAAATCCACATGATACCATTCTCCATCATTCACTTTCTTCAACAGGGCTTTTATTTTTATAGTACCTGACCCCATGTCCAGGAGGAGGTAGAGGTGGCCATCTAGCATCTCAATAGCAAAGAAGTCCACCTTTATCATCTGTGGGTGCTTGGCATCTTTTTGATGTCTTGGCTTGCCATGGCTAAATAAGATGAGGCCATTTGGTTCTGTTGTACGGAAATCAAATGATATGGAGCCTGTTTTCTTTGCATTCCATTTAGGCAAAGAGATGAAAGACTCTGGGGTTTCAAAGGTGATTGGGTCTAAAGTAGCAACATTCTCACATTTAAATGCCACCACTCCATGGATCTTCATCTTAGGATCTCCTTGCTTGGCAAGTCGAGATAATTCCAGCCTCACATCATTATTTTTATACACAACCTGTGGGCAGAGGCAGAGGACAGCAGTGAGAAACCAGCGTCCATATTTTAATATCTGAAACTTGTCATCAGCTCATGTAACTTGCAAGGACAGCATAAAAAGGCACACAGCATTCAGTTAATTTTGTTGTATAAAGGCAACATTTTTCAGGCAAATAAAATTCAAGTGTCAATTCATAGAACAATAACCATAACAATTTAATTCAAATAATGTGTGTGCAGACGCACACATGCATGTGCATATACACACAAACTGCTTGTATTTAACTCAAATAATTAAAAAATCTGCATATATCTTTAATTTCATGTCTACATTAACATGCTAAGACTTGAACTTACAAAAGCTATTTGTTTCATAGTTCTCTATGATGCTTTTAAAATTAAAAATAAGCATTGACGTTATTCAGTTTTCCCATCATTAAAGCATTTGAAATTGGATACCATTGTATACCAGTCTCCTAAAATATTGGATCTCCTCTATTATCTATATATCTGCTGTGGATATTAACTTTGCAAGATAGTCACAATAAGTTAAAGCACAAAACAGCCTGATATTTCTCAGCCAAAAAAAAAATATATATATATATATATATATGTGTGGGTGTGTGTGTGTATGCACATATATATATATATATATATATATATTTATGTATAAAACAAGGTCCCAGACCTGCATCAGTACCTTTGAATACTGTTAAGTAACGTGACACTGCCACATGTAGAATATGGTGCTTCCCCTCAATCTATTCAACCTATGTTACTGGTGATCCATTTCACTTTTAATTTACACAAATGCTGAGCAAGGGTTGTCTTGCACTCTCATTTTCCAAGGCACTTCAGTGAAAGAGGCCGGGCACTTCTGAGTGCTTGTTGATGGTCCTAAGGCTTTTTGGATTCCAATTAACACATTGGATACATTCACTGACAGGGTTAATGATATCATATTTTTGCTATCCCATCACGTTAATAAATTCAAAGGTATTTTGACATAAAGATAAAGAGAGAAGGACACTTTTTCTCTACAAAAGGCATACAGTGGATAATCGTATTTCTAAAATACATAGACCATATTGACTTAAGGGTGAATTAGTTATCTAGGTCCACATAACTATCTAGGTTCTTTTAAGAAGGGACTCTATAGATTTCAAAGCTCCCAAAGTTACTAGAATCTACATTTATTCATTCACATGTAAAAATGTACATATATATACACATATATTATGTATACGTATACACACAAATGCATGTTTTGTTTTTCTTTTTAGGAATGTCATGGGTGTTTTATATAATATATATAACAGGAAAAATAAGACAGCCTATATCTAATTAGTGCTATGAAATCAAGCAAGTCAACACAGCAGTTATTCCAAACCCATGGCCAACTGAACCAGCAGATGACTGATGAGTTTCCTGATAGGATTTGTTAATGGATACTTTATTTTTCAGAGTAATTAAGAGTTCATGCTCTGGTATTGGACTTCCTGAGTTCCAATTCTGGCTCCAGATTTACTGAACTGGGAAATCTCTGTAAGCCTGTTTCACTCCCTTAAAGGGAAATAATACTTCACATAATTATTATTAATATAATAATTAAATAAGAAAAGACATATAAGTGGGAAAATCTACATAAAGGCATTCATTCCAATGCCAAGCACACTGTAAGATTTCAATAAATATTAACTACATAAAATACATGATAATAAAAATCATCGCTTTATCATCATCTAATAGACATAGATTTTAGTTCTAAATTTATCCATGATAAGAAAACATTTAGAAATTAAGCCCACACATATAATGGGTTTTCATACATTATTTGTGCCAACTAAATAAGTCACATCTTTCCAATGCTGGGCCTGGTGTTTCAGTTCACCTTTATCTTGAAGAAGGATTATAATAAAGAACATGATATCTCTTATTCTTTGAACAAATATGTACAATGGTTTAACAAGCATCTATTGACAACAAAAGAACAGAGAATGAACTTGAGCAATAACAAAAAGGAATTACATTAATTCTTAAGAATACTTTTTTTGAAAAGAGAAAGATCTATTAAATCTTAGAAACATTTATTTAGGATTGCCTTTCTTTGGCGATCTTTAGAGGCAGGGAAAATGCTTTTCAAGGATGATTTTCCAAGTTTTATCGCTTCTCACTGTGACTTTCATGCGACTCAAACCTATATTATTTTTCCTTTTTCCTATTGATTTATATTCTAGAATGTGGGCATTCTTTTGATATAGATATTGATCAAGAATAAGTATTTTCAGACCCAAATGATGCTTCTGTTGATCAATGCTAACACTCATACCCATAATAGAACCACTGTAATAGAATTGAGTGTTTCTGACATGAACAAGTGGGTTTTATCCCTGGTATATTGTCTCTTGAATCTGACATCAGCCACCATAAAGTTGAAGAATAAGGGGCAGTCTAAGTCTGGGCAAGGATTTCAATGAGACTTAATCTTATAACTGAATCAGGTGTCTTGGTGATGAAAAGGTTCAGGAAGATGTAAAAAAATAGAAGTAGGGATAATTCCCTGGGTAAAATTTCTTAAGGTTAGCCATGCATCTCTCATTAAAAAAAAGTATTTCCACCAGCTTCAACGTTTTATATGCTTTATACTGGCAAGAACCTTGCTCACCACAGCACAGAACCAAGATTAGTAGCTGGCACAAAGTAGATGCTCAATAAATATTTGTTTATAGTTGAATAAAATTCTTCCTTCACCTTTTCAAACCTAGTTCCTAGATTATAGGCTTTTGTAGATAATAATATTTAGACCTACAATTAAAATACAGTAGAATATGATATTGCAGACCAATCTCATAAACTAGTTACTATTTTGCCCTATTTCTCGAGGAAAAAGCATAAACTTATGTACATATCCAGTTCATAATTGGCAAGTTGGCCCATGCATTGGGAAATGTCATCTTCAAACACATTTTGCGGGGTATAAATTCCTTTTAAAATGAAGAATGCCTGAGTTAAAACTCTCCAGAGGTTTATACACAAAAATATACACTGTGCTTCTCCTCAAGATAGTTCTTGTAGGAAAGAACTATCTCCAGATACAATAACTATGTCTTTCCTACAAGAACTGTCTTGAGGAGAAGCATAGTGTATATTTTTTTTTTCTTCCCATTTTGTACACTTTGAAAGGCTGCTCCAGAAAATGGAAAAGCAATTTTGCATTGGTAGGCCTATGGCTCTCAGATTTATACTACTATTTCATCTGACCCAGATTTTATAATTACCCTACTTTTCTAAAGTTAGACCTACTCTTAAAATGAACTGAATCTAGCTCAATTAGAATAATGAGTAGCTAGTAAGTATTCTAACTCTTCTAAAAATTCATGTGTAAGCTATTTTTGCTTCCTTCTGAAATAATGTGACACTCGATCATGGGAACACCTTAGAATTATTCATACATCTTTTATTCTTATGTCAAAAGTTGCAATTTACATGTTTCACTTTTGAATACATTTCTATATACTGTATCATCATAACAACTGATGATATTTGTGCACACTCATTTGCATCTGTTTAATAGAACCAAGTTTTCTTTGGGGACATTGATTTTTTTTTTTGAAGAGTGATTCAAAATGTTGAATTTTACTTCCCTGCTGCATGGGCTTATTTTCCATTTCCTCAAACATTTGTTAGAATTTTTAAAGTTTCCCTTCCATGTTAATATGCAAGAATAGGGAGTAATATGTTTATGTCTTCACATTCCTAGAGCTCACCTTTGAGGAAGACAATCACTGAGTATTGTCTTTGATCTTAAAGATAATCCTGAAAACATGACAGCAATGCAGAGAAAAAAAAAATAACTTAAACAATAGGAGCTTAATCGTCTGCATATTAACTTGGTTCAATCTCAAAGCTACTACTAAGCCAAGTCCCTAACCTCTCTCTGTCTCAGTTTCTTCATTTTGGAAACGGACATCTATAAAGGAAAGGCATGCCATATCTATAAATTCTTGAGCTTTTTTACCCTTAATTTGTGTGATTTGGGACAGACATAAAAGATGCTCTATGGTTCCTGCCCCCTTTCTGGCTTATTCCAGTTGCGATTTTTGATGCCAGGATATTGTTCTCTACTTTCAGACATACTGAAACATGAATCCATTAGTAAAGAGAATGTTCACTGCATCTTCAGGTACACAGACATGCCTCAAGGATTATATCTATCTAAGTTTTGTACAGATGGTGTTGAAGCACTGGTAACTGATAGATAAGGCTCTTTCAACAGAGTGGGAGTATGTGAAATTCAGTGTGAAAATATTTGCCACTCAGATAATGACTTTTTTATATAAATACATGCTTCAGCTTGGAAATTACAATGAGGGTCTTAACTTCATTAACATACATGGTGAAGACTTTTCATTCGTTAACTATGGTAATATGCAGGATGGTGAAATAAGCACCGAAGTTAGTGTTATTTACATATTTAGACTTTGTTATGACCCTCCCTGAGAGAACATGAATGGCTCATATTTTAATCTATCTTGGTTTTCTCTTTCATACTTGCACATAATCAGGAGTGAGGCCTAAGAATTTGATTCTCAAGTCAGATTTCAGAGAAAATTCCAGCTCACCCATTTGCAAACCTGTAACCTTGTGCAAGTTCCTCAACCTTGCCAAGTCACAGTGTTTTATTCGTAAAGGACAATGATATCTACCACATTAGGGTTACTGTAAATAATAAATTATATTTTAGTTAAAGTGCTAATAATGGGTCCTAGCATGGAATAAGTGCTCATTCACTGTTTTTATTAATATTATAAATAACATTTCTTATTCTTACATTGAATTGATGGAGCTACACAATTTGTCATAACAAAGGCAACAGCTAAGAAGGTAGACAGTAGTTGATTGCTCCCATATTTAAGGGAATTAAATAGTGCTGAGATCAGCAGGATCAAAGGTACTCAGCAGATTGGGACTTCCTTTTTCATGCTGATATTTACATTGCAGTTGGATGTACACAACAGG